ACCTCATTCCCCATTCCAGTTCCTCCCTTCCTTCCTGTCTGAAGGGACAGTTGATGAGAATCCCAGAGAATAACAGAATAACAGAGTTGGAAGGGACCTGGGAGGTCTTCTAGTCCAACCCCCTGCTCAGGTAGGAAACCCTATACCATTTCAGACAAATGGTTGTCCAATCTCTTCTTAAAAACCTTCAGCGTTGGAGCACTCACAATTTCTGGAGGCAAGCAGTTCCACTGGTTAATTGTTCTCATTGTCAGGAAGTTTCTCCTTAGTTCTAGGTTGCTTCTGTCCTTAGTTAGTTTCCATCCGTTGCTTCTTGTCCTGCCTTCAGGCGCTTTGGAGAATAGCTTGACTGCCTCTTCTTTGTGGCAGCCCGAGATATTGGAAGACTGCTATCCTGTCCCCCCTCGTCCTTCTCTTCATTAAACTAGACATCCCCAATTCCATCAGCCTTTCCTTATATGTTTGAGCCTCCAGCCCCCTGATCATCTTTGTTGCTCTTCTCTGCACTCTTTCTTGCCTTAAACATTCAGACATTCCCTTGACTCAGAATTGTTTTTTTTTGTCCAAGATTGAGTTCATTTGTATTTACTTCTTTGTAGAGGCATCCAATTTAGGATTCCCCACACCGTAGATTGTGTTGGTCAGACGTTCAGTCAACGGAAGGAGAATGGTGGGCTAGATTTTAGGAGACCTCCCTTCATTTCCTGTTGGGGAAACCCATTTTAAAAAAAAAACTAAATTGCACTGCAGTGTAAAGCTCAGGGGGGTTTGATTTAGCGTGGGTTAATTGACTCGCAATCCCATCTTTGACCATTCCAGTCGTGGCTGACTCTTTCCAGGCATGTTCTCCAGCGAGAAAAAGCAATTTATAAAGCAAACAAATCAGTATTCTGAAGTTACACAGCTTTCAGGAGGATATCTAGAACAAGAAGGTATTATTAAAACATAAGCTGCACCGAAGCTCGGAGATGACCTGTGCGTTTCGAGATATTATTATCTCAGCCCAAGACTTCTGAGCTAGCTTTTCTCCTAGCTGGATCCCTTAATTAAAATTCTAAAGAGCAGAAAGCTTGGCAAGAGATGGGATTTTGTGTGTGTCTCCTTTGGCTTCCCTGATGGGCAAAATGTGAGCAGAGCTGGAATAAATTTTGACTGGGCAACACACATTTGGCTAAATGAGTTCTCACCTCTGACATCCCCAGATGGGAAAACATCCATGAAAGAAATCGACATGCTGTTTGGCAGAGACGAAAAAAGCGCTCCTGGAAACAAAGAGAAATGGGCAATGATGTCAACGCAGAAGGTCTTCCCTAAATTTCCATATCTGGAAACTTCCCAAAACTCTTATGGATCTGAAAGGTTGTCCTATAGAAGATGGACCTATAAGGGCCTGCAGGTTGCTCTTCTCCTTCCAGAGATGTCATGTTTTCTTTTCAAAGTACAGAAGCAGGTCATGAGTGCTCCATCACTGGAGATGTTCAAGAAGAGACCGGACATACTTGAACTGTATAGGGTCTCCTGCTTGGGCAAGAGGTTGGACTAGAAGACCTCCAAGGTCCCTTCCAACTCTGTTATTCTGTTTGATCTGTCTCCAGTTGAGCATTCACCTCATGGACAGCAGCTTAGGTTGGAGGTGCCCAGCTTTTTTCTGGAAATTCTTCACTTAGACCCTAGACCTATGTTCCCACAAAGGCTTCTACAGAAAATCTCTTGCTTTGGAAAGTCAAGATCCCCTTGAGAATTCTTTGGCGAACTGTAAAAGTGAACTTCTGTAGGTGGAGGATCTACCCAAGTTCTAATGTTCCTGAGGAGCCATTCAATACTCCATGTTCTTAGACTGAAACCACTGAAAAAGGAAGCCACAGGCAAGCAAGTCTACTTCCCACGATCCCTAACTCTACTCCTAAGCCCATTGGGAAGAAATTCTATTCTATTCTATTCTATTCTATTCTATTTCATATTCCCTATTCTATTCTATTCTATTCTATTCTATTCTATTCTATTCTATTCTATTCTATTCTATTCTATTCTATTCCCAGTGGAACAGCTTGCCCCCAGAAATCGTGGAGATTTTTTAAAATCACTGGAGATTTTTTAAAAGAGGCTAGAGAGTCACTTGTCTGAGATGATGTAGGTTCTCCTGCTTGAGCAGGGGGCTGGACTAGAAGACCTCCAAGGTGCCTTCCAGCTCTATTCTATTCTATTCTATTCTATTCTATTCTATTCTATTCTATTCTATTCTATTCTCTATTCTCTATTCTCTATTCTCTATTCTCTATTCTCTATTCTCCATTCCATTCCATTCCATTCCATTCTATTCTATTCTATTCTATTCCATTCCATTTTCTATTCTATATTCTATTCTATTTCATTCCATATGTTCTCTGTTCTATTCTATTCTATTCTATTCTATTCTATTCTATTCTATTCTATTCCTATTCCTATTCCATTCCATTCCATTCCATTTTCTATTCTATATTCTATTCTATATTCTATTCTATATTCTATTCTATTCCATTCCATATTTTCTCTGTTCTATTCTATTCTATTCTATTCTATTCTATTCTATTCTATTCTATTCTATTCCTAGTGGAACCGCTTGCCTCCAAAAATCGTGGGTGCTCCATCACTTGAAGTTTTTAAGAAGAGACTAGACAGACTATATATATATATAATTTTTTTTAAAAAAACTGATTCAACACCAGGTCACACCTGTCTCTTTCCACCAAGGCGTTTCTCTCTGAAGGGACCAGTTCTCGCTTCTTGGTGCACAAGCTTAGAAATAGCTCTGATAGGATCTGACTGTCGAAAGCAAAGCTGTCAGCCTTCGAACTGGTTCTACTGAAGATCGGTGCCACATCCAACTTGCATCAAAGGCACTTTTTCAACCGGGGCTGCAGCTGAAGTGAATCTCTTGTGAAGGCCAAACAATTCAGATCCACAACCATCTCCTGGAGGAGCTGTGACACCCACCGCGCTCAAAAGCTATACAGGTGGTCCTCAGCTCACGACTACGATTCAGCCCAAAATGTCCGTTGCTAAGCGTGACATTTGCGAAGCGGGTTTTGCCCCATCTTGCGGCCAGGCTTTCCACGGCTGTTAAGCGTGTCACTGCGGTTGTTAATTTATAACAGGGTTGTTAAGTGAATCCTGGCTTCCCCATTGACTTTGTCAGAAGGTGGCAAAAGGGGATCACGTGACCCCGGGACACTGCAACCGACACGAGTCAGTTGCCAAGCGTTTGGATTTTGATGACATGACCGTGGGGGCATTGCAGAATACAGAACAACTGAGTTGGAAGGGACCTTGAGGTCTCCTAGTCCAACCCCCTGCTCAAGCAGGAGACCCTAGACCAGGGGTAGGCACCCTTGGCTCTTTTATGATTCGTGGACTTCAACTCCCAGAATTCCTGAGCCAACATGGCTCAGCTTGGAAACCTCTCCCTTTCTCCTCAACATGGCTGCCTCAGGAATTCTGGGAGTTGAAGTCCACGAGTCATAAAAGAGCCAAGGTTGCCTACTCCTGCCCTAGACCACTTTGGGCAAATGGCTGTCCAATGGTTTCTTAAAAATGTCCAGTATTGCAGCAGCCACAACTTCTTAGCCATGGCACTGATTAATTGTTCTCACTGTTAGGAAATGTCTTCTTAGTTTCTGATAACTTTTGTCCATTACTTCTTGACCCCCCTCTTCTCTGCAACACTCATAAGTGTGAAAAATGGGCATAACTCACTTTCTTCGGTGCCGTTGTAACTTCAAGCAGTCACTAAACGAAATGTTTGTAAGTCGAGGACTACCTGTACTTAAATCTTGAGTAGCCCCAACAGACTCCCCCAAAAGCAGATGCTGCTGGGACAAAAATCAATGTGGTCAATTAAAATTTAATGCCAAATGAACGAATGAAATGCAGCCAATAGGACGAGTCCCCAGGCATTTAACAATGCCTCCTTCCAACCCATTGGGAAAATTACAATTTGACAGCAATGTTTGGAAAGTCCTTAGAAGTTGCACCTTAAACCTGGGGTTGCAGGTACCATTGGAACATCACAGGTGTGATAGAGCCTCCTCCCCCCCCCACCAAATCAAAGCACCTCTCGCCTCTCAGCATCCCTTCTGCAGGTTGGTGTGAAGGTAAGGCTGAAACACACAACATCCGTCTTCTTGTTCCAAGTTCAGCAGCAAGAAATAAGGAGGCTCTTGTGATCCAACTGGCATCCACGTCAACTTGCTGGAAACAGATCATTGTTTGGTGAGGGAGGGCAGTGTAATTTATTTACAGGGTACTCATTGTTGCCGTTGGGGTGCTTTTGAAATCGTTAATCAGACATGCTGAAGTTGTGTGACTTCCCAGTTCCCCAGGATAGGAAGCGCAGTAGAAAAGGCACATGGGTCTGTTCACCGCAAGAGTTGTGCATCCAGCCAGCAACTTAAAGCTACAAAATCCACCTGGAACAGGACCATCTTCAACGAGGCACAAGATCCATCCACCCTACCAAATCACCCCAAATTATGGCTACCCTCCCTGTTTTTCCCGCCCTCCCCCTTCCACGAGACCCAAAGCAAAGTTTGATTCTATTATCTATTTCTCTCTCTCTCTCTCTCTCTCTCTCTCTCTCTCTCTCTCTCTCTCTCTCTCTCTCTCTCTCTTTCTCTTTTATCCATCGGAAAGAAACATGACAAAACTTGGAGAAATCTCTCTCAGTCACCCAACGGTACAAGGATAGATTGGATTCACTTCTGATTGACCTGGGGCAGGTGAAGAACCAACCCAGTTAAGTCTTCCAAGGAACAAGTCCTAGATTAGTGTCCTCCTTGACATGTCAGCTTGTTCATCATCGACAAGGCACGCCACGCTGTTCCTTTAAAAAAGAAGAAGAAGAAGAAGAATAACACCCTAAAACTGCGCCCTGGCCTTCTTCTTTTAGCCATCACGGTTTCTTCATCTGAGTCCTATTGAATCTACAACCGTCGGAGAGATTAACGCACGTGGGATTTGAAGAAGAGATGTCCTTATCCATGTTCTTTTAAGCTGGGAAATCAGTGCCTTCCGTGTTTGATCCAATTTCGGATCATCCATTTTTGCCCCGAGCATCTCTGTACTACCAATCTAAGTCCAAAGTTGGCATCTTTAGACATTTCTACTTCTAGACACCGGCCAGTATCTCGGCTGATGATTGGTCCACTCTGTAAGGAAGGAAGAGGAAGGATTGTGAGCGCTCGTAGTTTTTCCAAGACAGGCAAAGACAGGGAAAAGCAATACGAATCACCCCAAGGATTAATAGAAAGCAAGAGAAGAAACAACGGGTGGAAACTAATCAAGGAGAGAGGCAACCTAGAACTAAGGAGAAATTACCTGACAGTCAGGACAATTAACCAGTGGAACGACTTGCCTCCAGAAGTTGTGAATGCTCAAACACTGGAAGTTTTTAAAGAAGAGATTGGTCAACCATATGCTAGTTTTTGTGTGGGAAACTCAGAGCTGGTTTCACTTCATCTATGCCAATGTAGTTTAATCAATAAAGTTTACACTCTTGGTAAAATAATGTCCCAGGCGTTCCTTTTTCTGGACAGTTGACAAATCTTTTCTTGTAAAATTATCAAGTCAGGACCCTAAATAATAGACTAACAGAGTTGGAAGGTATCTTGGAGGTCTTCAAGTCCAACCCCATGCTTGGGCAAAAAAGACCCTATACCATTCCAGACAAATGGCTTTCCAGTCTCTTCTTGAAGATCTCCAGTGATGGAGCATCCACGACTTCTGCAGGGAAGCCCTTCCGCTAATTGTTCTCATTGTCAGGAAATTTCTCCTTATTTCTAGGTTGGTTCTCTTCTTGATTAGTTTCCATCCATTCTTTCTTGCCCTGCCCTCAGATCCTTTGGAGAATAAATTGATCCCCTCTTCTTTGTGGTAGTCCCTCAAGTACTGGAAGACTGCTATCCTGTCACCCCTAGTCCATCTCTTTGGTAGACTAGACATGCCCAGTTCAGCAATCGTTCGCCATACGGTTTAGCCCGTTTATTTACTTCTAAATATATTTAGAGATACATCTAACTGCATCGTTCTTAGCAACCAAGTGCAGAGATCATTATCACAACATATATATTGGTCCCGGGCTTCTGCACTCTCAAATTCACAGCAAGACCTGAATAGGACTTAAATTGCTAGTAGATGAAGTGAGCAGGAAACACCTTCCTATCTCAGATGAAAATTGAAAAAAAAAAGAAAAGCAAAATATGGAAATTACACGCTGTTGGATTTAGAAGGGAAAGCAAAAATCGGTTCACTGGGATGACTCTGCTGACTGTTATAATGGAGAAGGAGATAGCCAGAATATTGGATTTTGAAAAAGGAGAATGTGGAGAACTGACTACAGTAATACTTGCTGGCTTGGAGAAAAAGAATTTAAATGCTTGGCTTTGTGTGTGTTCAGAAATTTGAACAAGAGGAAAAAGCTGTCCCAAAGCTGAGCGTGCCGTGAAAAAAAGACAGGTGAGTGAAGAGTTAAATATGCAGTTTTCTCCTTCAAAAAACAAAATCGTCTATTAGGGACTGGCATTGCCTGGAGGCATCAGTAGAAGAGAGAGGCAAAAAAAAAAAATGTAATCAAAATGACTGATTGCTTTATTTCCCTTAAATGGAAAATCAAATTGTTTGAGACTCTTCGTAATAATAGGAACCAGCTGGGGAATATTTCTACATGTGAAGTGTGTTCCTTTTCATGTACGTTTGCCTTTCCTGACTTGGTACCCTCCATGCTTGCTAGAGATGGAAGTCCAATTTCATTTCAGCCTCCACGTAAGCTCCCAGAATTCCAGAGAACTCCCAGAATCCCATGGGACCTCCAGTGTTCCCAACCGGTGGTTGAGTGTTGTAGGAGCAGGAATCTCAATGGATTTGGAAGGCAGTAAGTTGGCAATGACTTGGGAAGTGTAATATTTGAACCAAATAAACCTTCTCTTTCAGTTCCTCACTTATAGTTGTGGGGTCCTTGGTGCTCTCTGAGCTGGGTGGTTTTCTTGAAGACGTTTCACAACCCAACTGGGGAACATCATCAGGGCTGGAAGAGAGTGTGGATAATCTGATAGCACTGAAGACATTACCTAGTTGGGTTGTGAAATGTCTGCAAGAAAACCACCCAGCTCAGAGAACACCAAGGACCCCACAGTCCTCCTCCTCCTCCTCCTCCCCCTCCTCCTCCTCTCCACAAACTCCCCTCCTTTCTAACACTGATGATGTTCCTTAGTTGGGTCATGAAACATCTGCAAGAAAACCACCCAGCTCAGAGAACACCAAGGACCCCACAGTTCATCCCTCAGCTACAAATATTCTCTTCCATCAGTATCATTTATATCTGTATATTCTGACATGCCTGTAATACCTGTGTAAAGTCCCAGAGTCGCTGAGTTGGTCTCAGCGTATCTTCGCATTTCTTCAAGGCGGGGGTCCTTCCTTTCCCATCATCTATGAGACATTTTGAGTCAGGGAGGAATGCCGTAGATCCCAGCGGGCCCAGTTGCAACAATCCTTCGGTGCTGTAACGGACAAGCTGAGACCAAAACCAAATCAAAGGTAATAACACCACAGTTAAGTCCACCGCAACCACAAATGGGACGAGAGAGCTGCTGAAAATGTACCTCTCGTCTCACCGTTCGAATCCCCGCCGCTTTAAAATTGTTCCTCCTCACCCAAACTCATGAGGTCTAGTTGCATCGTCAACGAGGGACGCAGGTCTGTTTTACATCAAGTGCGCCTCTAAACCTCCAGCCCCAAACCTAGCTTGAAAATCAGTTCTCCTTCTCAAAAGTGAAGGTTTCCATCAAGCTTGACCCCAGAAGAACTTCCAAAAGTGTGTCTTTACCTGGGAAGACATTCCGTGGCATGGATAGAGTATCGCTTTATTGTCATCTTCTGCGCCCTGGTCCAAGCAGTAGCCGCTAGCTTTGCTGTTGCGTACCTGAAATAAAAACCAGGGTAGATCAGAGTTGAAGGAGAAAGAAAGAAAGAAAAAAAGAAAGAAAGAAAGAAAGAAAGAAAGAAAGAAAGAAAGAAAGAAAGAAAGAAAGAAAGAGAAATGAAGGGAGAGAAGGAAGAAAGAGAGAAAGAAACAAAGAGAAAGAAATAGAAATGAAGGGAGAGAAGGAAGGAAGAGAGAGAGAAAGAAACAGAAAAAGAAAGAAAAAGAGAGAAAGAAAGAAAGATTAAGGGAGAGGAGGAAGAAAGAGAGAGAGAGAGAAAGAAAGAAAAAGAAAGAAAGAAAGAAATAGAAATGAAGGGAGAGGAGGAAGAAAGAGAGAGAAAGAAAGAGAGAAAGAAACAAAGAGAAAGAAATAGAAATGAAGGGAGAGAAGGAAGGGAGAGAAAGAAAGAAAGAAAGAAATGAAAGGAGAGGAGGAAGAAGAAAGAAAAAGAAAGAGAAAGAAATAGAAATGAAGGGAGAGGAGGAAGGAAGAGAGAGAGAGAGAAAGAAACAGAAAGAAAGAAAGAAAGAAAGAAAGAAAGAAAGAAAGAAAGAAAGATTAAGGGAGAGGAGGAAGAAAGAGAAAGAGAAAGAAAGAAATAGAAATAAAGGGAGAGGAGGAAGAAAGAGAGAAAGAAACAAAGAGAAAGAAATAGAAATGAAGGGAGAGAAGGAAGGAAGAGAGAGAAAGAGAGAAAGAAAGAAAGAAAGAAAGAAATGAAGGGCGAGGAGGAGGAAGAAAGAAAAAGAAAGAGAAAGAAATAGAAATTGAGAGGAGGAAGGAAGAGAGAGAGAGAGAGAAAGAAACAGAAAGAAAGAAAGAAAGAAAGAAAGAAAAAGAAAGAAAGAAAGAAAGAAAGAAAGAAAGAAAGAAAAGAGCGTATTTTTGCCATACGCTAAATAAATACCCCTTTGGTAATTGATGGATTCCCTCCTTGAAGCTGGCCTGACATTGTGGACCAGGGATGGAGGCTCAGCCCAGGTCTCCAACTCCTGAAACCAGGACATCACTCTGTCTCCTATCTAACTCGTGCCTGGCTTCCTTCCAGTGTGATAAACCCGAAATCAAAACCAAATTGTGGCAGACAAACGCCTTTCCTATCCCATTTCCAAGCCAAGAGGCCTTTAAAAAAAAAAAATCCACACCTTCAGAGTGCAATAAAACAGAAGAGGACTTTAATAAATAAGCCCAAACTCTCCAGCATCAGAAGTTATGGGAATCCTCTCCTCTGCAAGACAGTATAAAATATCGTTTCATCGCCCGTCACAAATTCCAAGGCCGGGAGGCACCGACTGTCCTTCGTGTTCTCAGAATGCGCTGCCAACATTTAAATGGGAACAGTCCTGCTTTACGACACTGGGTGTTATTCAGTGTGGGTTTTTTTTTTTATGACCCGGCTTTAAAAAAAAAATAGTGTGTTTCCGACGGAGGGAAAATATATTTTTACAACCTCTCGGTATGTTTTATCTCCGTGCTCGTATATTGAGTTGCTCTGTTGACAAGAGGCCAAAGACAACAAGGCTTATTTTTATTAGGATGTCTTTGAACAGGAAAATAAAATAATAACGGGGAAGTTATTTTCAAATCGCAAATTCCAGGAGACAAGCAGCGAAGGTGTCTAGTTATACATCACACTCATAACCTGATTAGCAATTATCTTGGGCAGCATAAATATCAGTGCCAAGCCAAAATTGTCTTGGCAATTTCTCAGAAAAGTCTTTCCCTGTTGAAAGAAGATTCTCTCCCCCCCCTACCTTATTCTTAAGGAATTTGAGGATTATTTATGAATTTATTGGGGTGTTTTTCAGCTGGGGTGTGGGAGGGGACGCTCTTCTTTGGATGTGACACCATATCGCTCTGCAGTTCGGTCTAATGGTTAAGGAATCAGGCTAGGAACCAGGCTAGGAGATGGTGAATTCTAGTCCTGCCTTAGACAATAGGCATGGAAGCTGACTGGGTGATTTTGGGCCAAGACTCTGAGTTCCAGTCCCACTTTAGGCATGAAAGCCAACTGGGTGACTTTGGACCAATCAACAGGAGACGGTGAGTTCTAGTCTCGTCTTAGGCATGAAAACCAGTTGGATGACTTTGGGCCAATCGCCAGGAGATGGTGAGTTCTAGTTCTGCCTTAGATATAAAAGCCAGCTGGGTGACTCAGGGCCAATCACCAGGAGACGGTGAGTTCTAGTCCCGCCTTAGACATGAAAGCCGGCTGGGTGACTTTGGGCCAATCACCAGGAGACGGTGAGTTCTAGTCTTGTTTTAGGCATGAAAACCAGTTGGATGACTTTGGGCCAGTCACCAGGAGATGGTGAGTTCTAGTTCTGCCTTACATAGTCCCGCCTTAGACGTGAAAGCTGGCTGGGTGACTCTGGCTTTCATGGCTAAGACAGGACTGGAACTCACCGTCACCTGGTAAAGCAAAGGAAAATTGAAGCAAGTTCATAAGCACCATCACAGTTTCCCTTTTGACCATTCTGCTTAATGACAGAATTGCTAATCCCAGTTTGGTTGCTAAACGAGGACCATCCCTTTTTTCCCAACCTGGTGCCTTTCAGCTCTGGAGAGTCCAGACTGGAATAAAATTGAACCATCGATTTGAGAGACAGGGATTCACACGTTACCTCTCCGTACGTGATGGTGTTGTTGTAAATCCTCATTTCAGGATAGACATTCTCCAAGTACCACTTAAAACTCCGGCACTGCAGACGCTGCCGTAAAGCAACCCGTTCCGACACATCTCCGAAGTCAACGCCGGGGTTCTGTGACACAAAGACACAAAGCGCAAAACAACATTCGACCAGGCTGGTTATTCTAAGCAGCTTGTTCTCCAGTTCACACAACCGTTGGCGTGGTCTACAGCCCCGTTCTTCTACCAACCTACCCAATCCCCTCCTTCTGCTCCTTAGCCACGTAAGGAGCGTCTGAATCCAGTGACGCTGTTAAAAACTGGAAATAAATATGAATTAAATCTCCGTAGAATCGGGGAGGGAGAATGGAGCAGTATCAAAAAGGCCGAGGTAGGTCAATGGAGGCTTCGCCAGGTTGGGAACCCATCTTCTATCTTGGCTGCTAGCAGAATCCAGGAATGTTCCCCTTGTGGGAAAGAGGCCTTACCGTCATTGGTATGTTCCACGCCATGTACACGTGGGACTTGAAGTCGTCCATCCACACTTCGGCCGCCCGCAGGGCGTTGCGCTTGGCGTAATAGTCAATGTCGTTGTTGTACGGCTTCTTCGTGCGCTCAGTGTGAGCCACGCGGGAACAAGGGAGGACTTCCATGCTCCCGCCGCACTGCCAGACCTGTGGGAAAAGGGAAGCAGGTCAATGGAGGGTGCATAAAATGGGTCGTTAAGAATGACGGTAGCCTCAGCAAAGGGCAGCTCCTGTTCTGAAAAGGGGAATTGCCTGTGTAATCACGCAGTGTCCTAGATGACCTAGAATCCTGGTCTGGAAGGGACCTCAGAGGTGTTTAATTCTGAAAACAGAATAACAGAGTTGGAAGGGACCTTGGAGGTCTTCTAGTCCAACCCCCTGCCCAAGCAGGAGTCCCTATACCATTCAGGACTAACGGCCATCCGATCTCTTCTTGAAAACCTCCAGTTATTTCTAGCTTGCTCTCTACTAGGGATTTCGCCATATATCACCAGACCCTGATGATTTGCGTGTGAGTAATGGAAGGTACTGTGGGAAAATAGCGTCCATTAATCCACCTGCAAAGGTATGAATTTTTGGAGGGAGGGAGGAGGAAGAGAAAGGAAGGAAGGGAGGGAGGGAGGGAGGAGGAAGAGAGAGAAGGAGGGAGGAGGAAAAAGAAAGAAAAGAAGAAGAGAGGGAGGGAGGAGGAAGAGAAAGGACGAAAGGAAGGAGGAAGAAATGGAGGGAGGAGGAAGAGAAAGGACGAAAGGAAGGAGGAAGAGAGGGAGGGAGAAGGAAGACAAAGAGGAAGGTGGAAGAGAGGGAGGGAGAGAGGAGGAAGAGAAAGGAAGAAAGGAGGAAGAGAGAAGGAAGGGAGGAAGGGAGGAGGAAGAAAGAGAAAGAGGGAGGAGGAAGACAAAAAGAAAAAGAGGAAGAGAGGGAGGGAGGGAGGAGGAAGACAAAGAAAGAAGGAAGGAAGGAAGGAAGGAAAGAAGGAAGGAAGGAAGGAAGGAGGAAGAGAGAGAGGAGGAAGAGAAAGGATGAAAGAAAGGAGGAAGGGAGGAAGGGAGGAGGAAGAGAGAGAAAGAGGGAGGAGGAAGACAAAAAGAAAAGGAGGAAGAGAGGGAGGGAGGGAGGAGGAAGACAAAGAAAGAAGGAAGGAAGGAAGGAAGGAAAGAAGGAAGGAAGGAAGGAGGAAGAGAGAGAGGAGGAAGAGAAAGGATGAAAGAAAGGAGGAAGGGAGGAAGGGAGGAGGAAGAGAGAGAAAGAGGGAGGAGGAAGACAAAAAGAAAAGGAGGAAGAGAGCGAGGGAGGAGGAAGACAAAGAAAGAAAGGAAGGTGGAGGGAGAGAGGAGGAAGAGAAAGGAAGAAGAGAGAGGGAGGAGGAAGACGAAGGAAGGAAAGAGGAAGAGAGAGGGAGGAGGAAGAGAAAGGAGGAAGAGAGAGATGAAGAGAGGGAGGGAGGAGAAAGAAAAAAGAAGGAGGGAGGGAGGAAGGAGCAACTTTTATTAGATGCAAAACATCCAGACTTTTTTCTAAATATAAACCCTTCTCACATCTCACGGGGCCTAATTTAGGTTTCGCAAGTGCAATTTCCACCCTTGACCTTAGCCGAAGATCCTTAGCCTCAAAGTCTGGGTTCTAGCCCCGAGTGCCCTCAGCTTTAAAATAAGATAAAATGAAATATTTGTGCTACAGGCCATGCAACACCCCACCCCTGCCCCCCTCACCCAGGATTAAGTGGACAAAGGCTGAGACTTTCCGAAAAAGCGACATTCTCCATTCCCAAGAACGCTGAAAACCCGAGTGTCATTATTGATGTAAAGAGGCTTGATGGAGCTTGTTCCTTCATTAAAAAGATAAAGTTGTTTCCTTTCATTTGCAAATTAAGGCTACACATAAATATCCTGCTTTTTTTTTCTTTTTTTCCCTCTTTTTTTTTAAAGTTCTGGTTCCTACAGCTTGGGGCTTCCTACATTATTATTTTTTTTTTAAGTTACATAAGACGTATTTATAACCCTCCCAAGATGGATGGTAATGCAATATGTTGAGCCTAAAAAAGCATTAAGCCGGGGCGCTGAGGGAAACGGTCCAACTCATCTATATATGCAAGACAAAGAGTTATTTATTCAAGCTACATTTTCTCAACTGCCAAAAATCTCCCTCAAGTTTGCTTCCCTTGCGCAAAAGAAAAGAGAAAGAAAGAAAAAGATTCGGCTTGTCTACTTCGTTCTCGGAATGCATGAACCATTTTCTTTTAGAGTTCTCTCTGCAGATCCTTTTTAAATCTGTCTCTGGTGCTGATGGCGCAAAAAGGCATATTTTGACATTATAGTTCTCAGTCCTCAATTTTTCTCTGTTTCTGACACTTTAGGGAGTTTTTTGGGCTTCCTCACCTGAAAAAGCCTCGTGTGATGGTTTCCTTCCTGGTGTGTGTGTGTGTGTGTGTGTGTGTGTGTGTGTGTGTTTTAGATGAACTATGGGGAGGTGATGGAGGGAAATTTAATCTACCAGCCTCAACTTACGACCTCAGCTGAGTCCCAAATTTCTTGTTTGGTGAGTTTTGCCCCATTTGATGATCTTTGTACCTCAGTTATAATCATCATCATCATCATCATCATCATCATCATCATCATCATCATCATCATCAAATAGAGAAAGTCATAGAAAATGATAAAATTAAACTGCTCTGGGACTTCAGAATTCAAACAGACAAGCACCTGCAACATAACACCCCAGACTTAACAATTGTCGATAAGAAAGACAAAAAAGTCTGGATAGTGGACGTGGCAGTGCCTGGAGACAGCAGAATAGACGAGAAAGAACTGGAGAAGATAACAAAATACAAAGACCTACAAATAGAAATAGAAAGACTGTGGCAAAGGCAAGCAAGGGTAGTACCAATAGTAATAGGCACCTTGGGTGCAATCCCAAAACAACTGGAGCACCACTTGAACACCATCGGCATTGACAAATTTGCCATTAGTCAATTGCAAAAGGCAGCCTTACTAGGAACTGCTTACATCCTGCGACGATATCTGTAATACCATCAAACATGCATGCATGGGTAAGGACTCGATAGGTAGACAAAATGCCAAATCCAGTCTGAACATCTGGCTGACTGAGCCATCAAGTCCAACTCCCTGCTCAGGCAGGAAACCCTATCCATTTCAGACAAATGGCTGTCCAGTCTCTTCTTAAAAACTTCCAGTGTTGGAGCATTCACCGCTTCTGGAGGCAGGTTGTTCCACTGGTGAATTGTTCTCACTGTCAGGAAGTTTCTCCTTAGTTCCAGGTTGCTTCTCTCCTTGATTAGTTTCCATCCGTTTCAAATATTTTTATATTATAGAAAGGAAGCAGGCTCGGACAAAAATGGTTAAGTATTGGCTATTCTCCACCAGCCTAGCAAATATCAAGTCAGAAAACATCTTTTGCTTAGCCTGTCTAAAAATCAATAAATACCAAGGCTAAACCCTCATATGACAGCTGCTTTTTGAAAATCCTGGAATGTTAACTGTGTGGACCCAAAGTATTGAAAAAAACAGCCTTGGCAACACAAGGTTTGATACAGCGGGCTTTAGATCATTAGCAGAATTCGAATGGAGAAGCTTTTAGTGCTCTTTGAGCTTGGTGGTTTTTCTTGCAGATGTTTCATTACCCAACTAGGGAACATCATTAGTGCTGCTGCTGCTATCTAGTTTGTGTAACCAAACATCTGCAAGAAAACCACCAAGCTCAGAGAGCACCAAAGACTCCTCATTTGAACCCTGGGCTACAAAGTTTATCCTTCATCAGAATTCAAACTCGGAGGGGGAAGAAAAAGGCAAAAAATATAAGAATTGAAATGTTCTCCAGAAACAGCTCCATGTGTTTGTTTTCAAGTTCTGGTTAACCAGGGAAGGGGGAAAAATATCACGTTGTCACTTCTGTTTTTTCAGATGAGCTTTTTTTATATCCTTTAAAAGCATTCACTGTTTGATCTGGCTATTAGCAGGAGTGATGGAGAAACGGAAGAAGGTTTCAAAATAAGTACACTAAGACATTCATCAAGGTTCTGAAATGGGGAAAAATTATGGCTGGGATCCATCAAGAACACTCCATCTTGAAATGTTCCATTGCTGATCCTATTTGCACCAGGATTCTGTCTTTTTCCAAAGATATATGATTCTAGGGCTGACACTAATGGATGCCGCATTGAGTGTTTCTGCTGAATCTTCGTAAACTTTTTAGCTTTTTCCGAAGGACGTTTACAGAGAGAAAAGAAGGTGCAGTTGAGGAGGAGGAGGGAGGAAGGAAGGAAGGGAGGGAGGGAGGAAGGAAGGAAGGGAGGGAGGGAGGAAGAGGAAGAGGAGGAGGAGGAAGAGAAAAATCAAACTTTGGCCATACTGCTTTCACATAATCCAATATCCTTGTCTGACGACTTTATTAAGTGGAGGAGGAGAAGGAAGGAAGGAAGGAAGGAAGGAAGGAAGAGGGGGAGAAGCAGAAGAAGAAGGAGGAGGAGGAGAAAAATCAAACTTTGGCCAAACTGCTTTCAGATAATCCAATATCCTTGTCTGACAACTTTATTAAGAGGAGGAGGAGGAGGAGGAGGAGGAGGAGGAGGAGGAGGAGGAGGAGGAAAAGAAGAACAAGAACAAGAACTAGAAGAATAAGAGGAGGAGGAGGAGGAGGAGGAGGAGGAGGAGGAGCAGGAGAAAGTAGTCATGACTTTGAGAGGAGACAGTCTTTTGTTAACCTTATAGGAGAAAATCCCTTAATCATGCCAACACCGAAATGTATTTCCTGAAGAATTTTGCGCTCAGCATTCTTTATCTCTTTGAGGGTTTTATGAGCAGAGAGATAAATCAGGCAAATTAATAGCCTGGCACAATGGGAGGGAAAAGGAGATAAGATTACAGGGGGCAAAAAAATAGGATTTTAAAAATGACCCACATATTTTAACCGCTAATCCAATCTAAAAAAAAATATAAAAAAAAATAGTAAATCCATTTTGCTCCATTCTGACAAACAACATTTGTTCCCCTGACCAATGTGTTTAGAGATTGACCTGGAAAGGATATTTTTTTTTTTATGAGCGAAGGTTCTTTTCTGTAAAGACAACTAAATCTCCCATCTTTCTGAAACAATCAATTATATTTGAAGGAGGAAAGGAAGACAGGCGT